TCAGCACCAGACTGTGAACCACAAGGTCTGCAGTTCAAACCCACCAACTACTCTTTGGAAACCCTATACAGAGTCACTATGAGTCAGAACCAACCCAATAACACTTAACAACAACAACTATCTTTAAGGAAGTACAACACAGGTCTTTCTCCCACTGGTAACTAGTAGGTTCAAACCCCCAATGTTTTGGCTAGCAGTTGAGTGCTTATCCATTGCACCACTGGGATTCCTTATGATTAAGACTAGCTTTGCAGTGATCCTTAAAGCAGATGACTGCAGGTCACATGTTAGTGTGGATGTAGCAGAAGCCAGTGAGGAGGGACTATGGCCCCAAGGACCAGATGCATTACCCCTACTCATCCCCATTCCTGACATATGGGAATTATATCTCCCTCTAGGATATGGGTAAAATTAGGTGAAAAGAACTCTCAATTGATTGAAATCAAATTTCCACCACATGTTATTAAGGGATTCATCAAATAATGTGAATTGAATTATAGAAAAACAGTCAGTTCCATTTTTTTGCCCTCGAATGTGTAAGCTGAGATTTGTAGGCAATTACAGAGGTGTGGATAAAGTACTTGACCTCAAGTTTGGTTTGAATCACAAGGTCAGCAGTTCATACTCACCAGCCACTACTTGGAAACTCTGTACAGAGTGGCTATGAGTCTGAACCTACTCGACTGCACTTAACAACAACAACAGAGCCAACAGATCCTAGAGGCTAGTTCTACTCTGTCCCATGGAATTAGTATGAGTCTGAATTAATGCAGTGACACTCAACAACAACAACACTATAAGTCGGAATCGACACATGCGTCATCTAGGAGGTGATGGTGTTCAGAGAAGGATACCTGAGACAGAAGGGATTAAATAGGAAAGGGCCAGATGGACTAAGTAAAGTGCTTGAAAGAGTTACAAAGTACTTCAGGAAAAGTATTTTCTGCAGAACAAGAGTTGCTAAAAAGCTCTGAGATCTGAAATAATCAGGGTTATTTGGTGGAAGTACTGACAGTTGGACAATTTTTTTGAGATTGAATACAATGTGTGAACGGATCGTTGAGGCAAAGAAGTAACCAGGAAAGGGATTGGTCCAAATGAGTCATTAATGCTTTACTAAAGGAGTGAGTTGTCCTCTTCACTCACGAAATGTATTTTATCAATTTATGATATACCAAAAAAAAAAAAAAAAAAGGATGATTTCCATTTGGTCAAGTATTATTCCTGACAAATCTGATCTTACAACATGATTTTCAACACTGGGTACAATCATGGATCAGTGATCCCTTGTAAACTGGAATGTTATGCTGAGCATCATTCTAACAGTAACTCACAATCCTTCTCCCTTTCAGTCTACCAAAAGCATGATTACATTGCCCTAGATAATGTCTGGTCTCCATTCTTTATTTGTCACTTGGAATTTGTCATTGGTTATGCATGCTCATTATCTCAAAATCTTTGGCAAAAAGCAATAAATATCCTCTGTGGCTCTGTGGGATAAAGCACTAGTTGGAAAAATCATTTTGAACCACAAGGTCAGCAGTTCAAACTCACCAGTTTTGGAAATCCCACTCAGAGCCACTGTGAATCAAAACTGACTTGACGGCACTTACCATCTTCTTTTAAAACACAATTTTCTCTGGATGTCTGTATTGTTTACAGTGATAGAGAGTCTTGAAATGACTTTTTGAATATATAACAATATTATATGAGTACCATACACTGAACAGTGAATAAGGAAGACCGTAGAAGAATTGATGCCTTTGAGTTATGGTGTTGGAGGAGAATATTGAAAGTGCTATGGGCTGCCAAAAGAACCAATAGATCCATTCTGAAAGAAGTGCAGCCAGAGTGTTCCTTCGAGACCAGGATGGCCAAACTTCGTCTCTCATACTTCAGACATATTGTCAGGAGGGGCCAGTTGCTGGAGAAGGATATCATGTTTGGTAAGGTGGAGGGTCAGAGAAAACGAGGAAGACCCCCAATGAGATGGATTGGCCAGGTGGCACATTGATGGACTCAAATGTGGCAACAGTAGTGAAGTTGGCCCAGGATCAGGCAGTGTTTCGGTCTGCTGTGCATGGGGTCGCTATGGGTCAGTGCCAACTTGATGGCACCTAACAACAACAACAACCATAAGGTTTATGGTTCAAACTCACCACCTGCTCCTTGGAAACCCTATAAAGACAGGGTCGCTATGAGTCAGAACTGACTTGACGGCACTTAACAACAACATGTTTAAATAGTGTTTTTCAGTTTATAGTAACTTGTTTGACTCCCACAAGTGTGGAGCAGTATGTGATTTTATTATACTGATGAAACACTGGCAGCTCTGAGTACCCTCCTTGTTTAACTTGTGTTTAGCAGAATGATCTTCCAGTTCCAAAATGAGACAAGCTTTGTCTCACTCTTGGCCCTTTGAACTAATTTTTTTTGTTACGTGTCTCCTTTCTCACACCTTAAATCCACTTGCCCTTGAACATGTATACAGCCCTTCAAAATGGTCACCTGGGGAAGTTATAGTCTTATTTCTTGTGTAATTTCAGGACTTTCCTGTAGAATCTATTTGAGCCATATCAGAAAGCCCACTTTGTTAGCATATGTTCACCCATGATGCCGAGAATGACATCCTTCTAATTTGCCTCAACAGATTTTGAATGGCAAAGCGAATCTAATCTATCCTTAATGGAAAAATAGGGACAACTGTTGAATATCTTCAAAAAACTCATCCATAGGTTCAAAAGGTAATTGAAACGTGGGCTATTTTAGGCAAAGAAAGTCTCTTTGGGATAAATGTGTACTCTCCTAATGTGGTCCTTTTGGATGTCTGCATGTGCTTATTAGAAAAGATGCCTCAATATCTCAAAGTCAAGGCTGATGGACTCATTAGTCAGATGATTTAAAGGACCTATTTTTATTCAAATCATTAAAATAAAACTACCTCGATAATCACCCTTTTCTCTTCCCTCAAAAGCAACTAAACTAGTGAGATCTGGGATTGATTATAGAATTCAGTGAGGTTAGAATGGAACCATTTACATGATCATAGTCTGATCTCATTGACTGCAAATACAGGGCACCAATTCTTTCACTATTGAGTCATTGTAGACAAATCAAGATAAGGGAACACATCTAATTCTTGTGCAATTACTCTCAAGGAAGGAGACTCTTCAGTTCTAAATTATGTCCATTTCTTCTAACAGATGGAAAAGAAATTCAAGTAACGTGACCCTGAGAAAATGAAACGGAATATCCTTTCTCTTATTTGGGAATCAAAGGACATTAATAGTTTGAATAAATCAATATCAACAAAAGACATTTGAATAGTTTAATAGTTTTATATAGGTGATAGAAACAACAAAAGAGCAATCAGAACAACTGTAGTCATATGTTCAAAAGGAATATTCACTGAGCAACTTTAATGAAACAGAGAGAATCTGATTTAGTTTATACAAGTAAGTTATAGGATCTGGGACATGGAACTCTTAGCAGAAACATTCATTCTCCATGATTTCATCTCCTATATGATTTCTATCTACTCTAAATTTGGCAATCATACCTCATGCACTGTAGGCTCTCAATGAAGACAGATAAACAATAGATGATGGCTGAAGCTCTGAGGAGTACACAAAATCCTTTTCCAGAAAAATAATAGGAAAGAAAACATGTGTTTCTAAGATTGATGTTTTGTAAGTATTAAGAGTTGTTTAAACTTCTAGTTTGACAAGCATCTAATTGACTCTTAGGAAGGTCACTGATTTAGTAAATTTTTTGGCAGCAAATATCACATATTAACTAGAGAAACACACAAACACATTTCTTTTTTCCCTGTTAAAATTTCCTGAGAACTTTATGAACTGAGTCAAATGTTTATTATCTTAGGAAGTAAGTGATATAATTCCTCTCCCTGAAATATACTAGGTAGCCCTTTGCTAGTGCATCCCCACTGTGCTGAGTAGCAGCCAACATCAGGCTTTTCATGAAAATGACACAGAGTCGGTTCAAGTGACTCACTTTGGATCACTATCTTTCTGGGCATCATGTGATTGTAGACTATGAAGAAGGCACATGCCGATAAGTTGAGAAAATGTAACAAATGATAAAAGTAATAAACTTTATATATATTCTTTTTCTCTTTTATCTATAAATGAATATATATGTTGTTGCTAAGTGCCAAGCAGTCAGTTCCAACTCATAGTGATCCTACATAGGGTTTCGGAGGAGTGGCTGTTGAGTTGGAACCGCTGACCTTGCTGTTAGCAGTCCAGTGCTTATCCTAAGGTGCCAAGCAGGATTTCAAGTGAATATACATGTCTTGTTATTGTTGTTAAGTATCATCGTGTTGATTCTGACTCCAGCGGTTCTGTATAGGTTTTCCAAGAGGCAGCTGGTGAGTTTGAACTGCAGACCTTGTGGTTTGTAGTCTAGTGATGCTCATTCAGTGCCACAGTTCATAGCTATTAGAAACTTGTTCTGTTTATGGACATAGTGTACGAGGCCATCTTAGAGCTTGTATAAAGAGTTTTAGTGTGGGAGACAGGTGATTCCAGTTTTAAGTTTTGGGCAACCACCAGATTGCTAGATTGCACAAAAATAAGCCGTTTAATTCCTTTGGGTGTTAGTTTTTCTCCTGGCTAGATTTGTCTTAACTGCCTTTTAGGTGATTAGTGGCCAAAAAACATATGAGGGGAAGAAATATATCATTATTATTGTACTGCTTCTGTGTTTAAGATTTCTTGAATGAAAAAAAAAAAAAAGTTCAGATTGGACGTTCTCAATTACGATACTCCTGAGTAAAATAGTCTAAAAATGTAGAGGTTCTACCATGACTCTGTCTAGCATTGTATTATATGCACCTTTTGCTAGCAATCAATTCATGTAAATAGAAGAAACAGACATTTCAGCAAATGAAAATAGAAGTACAATTTTGATCATTATTATGAGTCATTAAAATAGGTTTACATTTTTGTTGCGCTTGAATCTCAAAGGCTTTTGTGAAATTAATCAAATAGCCTTCTAAGAAAAGATTTCTTGGCAGGAGTCATGACTTTTCCAGGGCCCTTTTTGCGGTTTGATTTCAGAGAGGGTTTCTTTAAAGGTAGAGTGCTCTTGGGGGTTTGCAATGCTCTGGCTATAACCACATGCTCATTGCAATAGTACTTGTTACTTCCTTCTGACAGTTGGATGAGCGTGCGTTCTGCGAGATCCATGCACTGGGCGTGAACCCAGTGCCCATCTTCATGAGAGCAGTAGATCATGGCAGGTTTGTTGAGCTCAGTTGAATAGAATGGTACCCAAGTATTGATATCTACATCACAAGTACGGCAGCATGTAATCCAGTAGCCTGTCACAGATTCATCTTCCTCATCATCTTCATTATAGGTGTCAAATTCATCATCACCATCAAAACTGTTTGCTTCTGTAGTGAAGCAAAATTCTTCTGAGTCTTCAAAGGGAGTGGAGTCCCCTGGGTCTTCTGTTGATGTCTGACTGTTTGTGAATGTTTTCTGATCTTCATTTATATCGTCTTCAGTACATTTCAACATATAGAAGTAGAATGCTTCTGAAACAGCCTGTTTATTGTCTCCTGGTATGCCAAGGAAAATGGTTCCATTTCCCATATTGGCCCCAAACCATATCTTGCAGTGCTTAATGTCTGGGGTCCAATCTGGGGTCTCCATCTCATGAATTTCTATCTTGTCATTCTCTAAAGAGACCACGTTACAGATCATCCTTTTTTGATTCTCAAGCTGATAGCCTCCAACAATAACAAATTCATCTTTGCTAGTTTGAGTCAGGATTGCGCTGGAGACAGAGATTCCCCCTGACAAAACTGTACAACTCACATCTGGACTACCCAGGGGAAGATCAACCCTTATTCTGTACAAGTTAGCAGGGCGGTTGTTATTGGCAAGTGAATGGCCTCCTAAAATATAAATGGTATCATTTCTAGCGATGGAGACATGAAAAGATAGCCCATCCTGAAGTTCTGGAAGAATGTATGATGTAGAGCACCCAAATTCAAAATCCACCAAGAAAACATGAGGCAGGCAGTCAACTACACTATTCCATTTTTCTGTGTTTCTCTGGGCAGGAGGTATGTATGAACGTCCTCCAAAGAGAACACCCATGCTTTTCCCACGACTATACACCACATCAATGGAATGACCATATCTGGCTTCAGGAACATCTCCCACCAAATCTTTCTCTGTGCAGCAAAAAGTAACTTTTTTGTTGGTCTTGCAAATAGCAGACATGATATAAATCTTATCTGAAAGCTCATTGTTTGGTGTTTTCCCTCCGTGGATAATGTATTGATGTTTTTCAGATTCAGAGCTGCCTTTGAATGTGCAAGTGGCTGGGTAGCGAAGAGGCGGAAGATAGCAGGAATCTTTGGAGAAAACTGTAGGCTTCAGTTTAAGATGGTTATGCTTTACATCAAAATGGAAAACTCCCGTGGGGCAGGATCTTTTAGGCCAACCTTTTTGGCCAAAGAAGAAAACTTGTCCATCAAAATGCATCAGTGAGAAGCCTGGTTGAATTAAGGCTCCATTGTTACTGACTGTTACCATCTGCAGTGACATTCTGATTGTAGATCGATCTCTTATCTGAAAGAATTACAAAAGTAAATTGACTTACTGTGTTTTCATAGAATTCACAGTGTTTAAATTAAACGCCATCATATATTATATTTCTTCCCACAAATTGTGATGGGATCAGGGCTTCAAATATGTTCATTCCGGTTGGACTCCCTGCTGAGGATCTGTCTTTCCATCCCAGATATGTTGTTGTTGTTAAGTGCCTTGTTGTCAATTCGGACTCATAGCAACCCCGTATAGGTGGAGTGGCTGGTGAGTTTGAATCACAGACTTTTCTGTTAGTAGTCCAGTGCTTATTCTACAGCGCAACACTAGGGCCCCAGATATAGAGTCAAAGTGTTTCCCAAACGATTGGTACGAACGTAAGATAAACACTCGACTGCTAACTAACCACAAAGTCAGTGGCTCAAACCCACCATCCAGTTTTCGGAAACCCTATAAAGGGTCGCTATGGCTAGAAACCGACTGTTCTTGTTAAGTGCCGTCGATTCGGTTCCGACACAAAGCGACCCTGTATAGAGTGGCTGGTGAATTTGAATCGTCGACCATGTGGTTAACCAACCTTGTGCCTAGTGCTTATCCTACAGCCCACACTAGGACTAGATGGGATATAACAACAATAACAGGTGTTTGGGAGCTTGTTAAAATGTAGGTTTTAATTCCCTAGATCTGGGGTGGAAAAGGTAAATTCTCAGCAGGGCGCCGAACCTAAATAACCCGTTGGAAGCCCGGATAGGTATGCGAAGAACCTCAGAACCTTTCTGCCTAATGTCATACATTCAGCAGGGACATATTTTATAAACGGACTAGCCTCTTTGGAATTCTGGTAATTGTAGTCCTTTATACGTAAAGCTTTCAGACTAGTTCGCAGAAAGAACTACATTTCCCAAGAATCAATACTCTATGGACAGTAGGGCGGAAATCGTTTGTTTTCGGTGCTCCAAGAGCGATTTGTAGGATTGCTCTCTGAATACAGACGTGAGAAGTACGAAGTGGCTAGATGGGCGCCAAGACAGAAAACTAGGGAATGGGAGGTGAGAGTCACTGATACAGACCCAGCATCCGGGTACGGGATTGCTGGAGCCTCACCTGGGGACTGGTGACCTCTAGGAAACACTGGTGCTCTTGGGGGTGTGGAGTTGTCTGGAAACCTGAAGGGATGCTCTGCAGAGAAGTCCTACTGCATTCTGCTTGGACGACTGGGGGCTTGACACAGTATTGCACCCCTAAGAATCTTTGGGTTGCTTTGGGGCGAGGGAGAGAAGGGAATCACACGATTAAAAAGTTATTTATTATTTTATAGGGCCAAAAGATGAGCCTCTGAGTAACTAGAGTGCAAGGGAGAAATAACCTGACAATGATTTTTACCACTCCTGGTGTGATGCTGTGGGTTAATGCGCTGGACAGCAAAGTCAGTTTGAATTGTAAGGTCGGCGGTTCAAGCTCACCAGCTGTTCCTAGGAAACCCTATACAGGGTCGCTAATGGGTCGGAACCGACTCCACGGCACTTATCAACAACAACAATCTTAGTTGAATAAACTAAGGAACTAATAACAACAGCAATGGAAATAGAGTAATTAGACTTTGTTGTTGTATAGGGTTTCTAAGGAACAACGGGTGGGTTTGAACTACTGACTTCTAGTTCAAACTGACCTTGTGGTCCAGTGCTCTATCCTACAATGCCACACCAGGACTGGCAGGATTCAAATCCTGACTCTCACTTATTAACTACTTACCTTTGGCAAGTTATTTAGCCTCTCTGCACCTCAATTTTTGTATCTGTTGATGGAGAAATTTACCTAGCTCAAAAATTGATGTAAGTTATAATTAAAACAGTGCTTTGCATACAGCAAATGTTAGTTTTTATGTTTATACCTGAAGTTCATACCTGGAAGATGATAGTTGTCTTGTTGATGACAATTAGAAAGGGCTTTAAGGATCTGGGGGATGAGTCAGTGGACACAGTTTAACAGCATTTTAAACTAGCAAGAAAGGGATAGATATATGTAATGAGGGTTGTTGTTGTTGTTGTTAAGGGCCTTCGAGTCGGTTCCGACCCATAGCGACCCTGTACAGGATTTCTGAGGCTGTAAGTCTTTAGGGGAGCAGAAAGCCCTATCTTTCTCCCGCGGAACAGCTTGTAGTTTCTAACTGCTGACCTTGTGGTTCGCAGCCCAATTTGTAACCACTATGCTACCAGAGCTCCTTATATAATGAGGGTGCTGGTGATGAATTCAATTTAAATACAAGGAAGTAGTTCATTCTCTTTTCCACTCTTTTTAAAATGAATTATAAAATACACAGTCTTTGGTTTGCTTGAGTCCAAATATAGCTCTAGCACTTAGTTGCTGTGTAACCTCCTTTGTTGTTGTGGTTAGGTGCCATCGAGTAGGTTCTGATTCCTAGTGTCACTACCCAAAACAGAACCAAACACTGCATGGTCCTGCGCCATCCTCACAATCACTGCTAATGCATGAGCCCTTTGCTACTGCTGCTCTGCCAATCCATCTCTTTGGGGGTCTTTCTCTTTTTTGTTGACCAGCCACTTTACCAAGCGTGATGTCCTTCTCCAGGGACTGGTCCTTCCTGATAATATGTCCTAAATATGAGATGAAATCTGACCATCCTGGCTTCTAAGGAACATTCTAGACCCCCGACACAGATTTGTTTACTCTTCTAGAAGTCCATGGTACTTTTAATATTGTTTCTTCTCCAACACCAGAAGTGAAATGCATCAATTCTTCTATGCTGGTCCTTACTCATTGTCCAACTTTCATTTGCAAGTGAGGCTATTGAAAATACAATGGCTTAGATCAGTTGTTCTTAGTCTACAAACTGACATCTTTGTTCTTAAGCTCATTAAGGAGGTCTTGTGCAGTAGATTTGCCTAATGCAATATATTGTTTGATTTCTTGACTGCTGCTTCCGTGAGTGTTGGTAATGGATCTAAGCAAACTGAAGTCTTGGATAACTTCTATATTTTCTCTGTTTATCACAATGTTACTTATTGGTCCATTTATGAGGACTTTTGTTTTCTTTACATTGAGGTGCAACCCACACTGAAGGCTGTGGTCTTTGAACTTCATCAGTCAGTATTTTAAGTCCTCTTCACGTTGAGCAAACAAGGTTGAATCATTTGTATATTGCAGGTTGTTAAAGAGTCTGCCTTCAATCCTAATACCATCTTTTTCTTCATATAATCCAGCTCTTAGATTATTTCCTCAGCATACAGATTAAATAAGTATGGTGCAATAATAATACAGTCCTGGGGTACACTTTCCCTGATTTTAAACCATTCAGTGTTCCCTTGTTCTGTTCGAACAACTGCCTCTTGGTCTATGTACAAGTTACTCATGAGCACAATTAAGTGATCTGGAATACCCATTTTCTCAATGTTATCCATAGTTTGTCAGTGATCCACATAGCTGAAACTTTTGCATGGTCAACAAAGCTCATTTAAACATCTTTTTGGTTATTTTCTGCTTTCAACCAAGATTCATCTGACATCAGCAATGATGATACCTTGTGTTTCATGTCCTTATTTGAATCATGCCCTTGTTTAAATCTGACAGTTCCATGTCAATGTACTGTTGAAGCTAGTTTTTAATTATCGTTAGCAAAAATTTACTTGCATGTGATATTAATGATATTGTCCTATGATTTCCGCAACCTGTTGAGTCACTTCTCTTTGGAATGGGCATAACTATGGATCTCTTCAAATCGATTGGCCAGGTAGCTGTCTTCCAAATTTCTTGGCAGAGATGAGTGAGTGCCTCCAGGTCTGCATCAGTTTGTTGAAAGATTTCAATTTCTATTCCATCAATTCCCAGAGCCAATGGCGTCTGTACACCTTGGACTTTATACTTCAGCACCATTGGCTCTTGATCATGTTGTTGTTGTTGTTAAGTGCCGTCGAGTTGATTCCGACCCATAGCGATCCTGTATAGGGTTTCCAAGGAGCAGCTAGTGAGCTTGAACCATCGACCTTGCAGTTCAAATGACTTTGCAGTCTGACGCATTAGCCTACAGCGCCACACCAGATGGTTGAATGAAAATCATGTATTTTTGATGTGTATATACAGTGACTGTATATTCCTTCCTTCTTCTTTTGATGATTTCTTCATCATTCAGTATTTTGCCCATAAACTACAAATTGAGATTTGAATTTTTTTCTTCAGTTCTTTCAGCTTGAGAAGTCCTGAGCTTGTTCTTTCTTCCCGGTGGCTTTTTAACTCCAGATCTCTGCATATTTCATTATGATAGTTAAAGTAAACTTCTTGAGTTGCCCTTTGATATTTCTGTTCAGCTCTTTTATTTCATTTCCTCCATTTGCTTTAGCAGCTCTATGCTAGAGAGCAAGTTTCAGAGTTTCTTCTGAAATCCATTTTGATGTTCTGTCATTAGTGTCTAATTTATCAAATCTGGTCTTGAGATGATCTCTGACTTCAGGTGGAATATGTTCAATGTCATATTTTGGCTCTTATAGACATGTTTTAGTTTTCTTCAGCTTTAGTCTGAACGTGCATATGAGCAGTTGATGACGATCTTTTCCACAATCTGTTTATGGCCGTGTTTTCCCTGATGATATGGGGTTTTTCCACTGTCTCTTCCCACAGAAGTAGTCAATTTTATGTGTATGCCATCTGGCGAGGTCCATGTATATGTTGTTATAGTTGTTAGGTGCCATTGAGTCAGTATCGACCTACAGCAACCTTATGCACAGCAGAATGAAACACTGCCTGATCCTGGGCCAACCTCACTACTGTTGCCACGCTTGAGTCCATCGATG